TCATCCAACAAAGTGAGGGGCTTACACACTTGGGGACATCTTTCTTGAAACGTGACACATACAAGCCCTGATGTAACTCCTCTTCTTTGTGTGGGGGCCCTGTGTGGGATATACTTGCGTGGGGGAATTGTATGATGTCATTGTTAGGTTGGGTGAAGATCTTCTGCTGCTGACATTCCTACCACAACTCGGGGCCGAAAGTGATGGTGGGGTCTAGTAAGAGTGCGTGTCTGACGATTTTGGTGGGTTGAAAGGGGGTGCCCACTTCGTGAGCCTGCAGAACAGGCGGATTAGCGGGGCAGAGAGCGAAACGCGATGCACAAGGGCGGAGCGCGACCACGAGCGCAAAGCGCGATACGAAAGAATTTTTTTGTCGTCTCGCGCTTCGCGCTCGTCGTCGCGCTCCGCGCTCTTGTATCGCGTTTCGCTTTCTGCCCCGCTAATCCGCCGGTTCTGCAGGCTACCACTTCATCGTACCCCCTTGTAGATGGCGCCCTTCTGCATGAAGACTGAGGTGGGTGTGACTTCCTGGCTCCAGATGATCTCTGATTTGTCCCCGAGGTGGTTCATCGCCCCATTCGAAGAAATCACATATCCTCTTGCAGCATTTAAAGTAAAGACAGTCTGGGTTCTTTTCAGGCTGCGACATGATCCATACTAAGGACTTTCTGCAGTAACATCGCATTTAATTCAAACCGACGTGCGAATGGTAATCGTGCAATACACACCGTACGAGTCTACAGGCAGAATTTCTTCTCTGAGTTCCACGGTTCCATGGTAGCGCTCAGACCAAATTAACGATGTTGCGAGTGAAGAGACCGGAACAGCGTCGTCGCTTACATAAAACTCGAGAACCAATCAGCGTTCAGGGGTGTAGTGAGGTGATGTTCGATTCTGGCCAATCGGAGCATTTTGTGACTAAATAAGGACACCAACCTCGAATCCGATTTGTTGATGTAAAAATCTGACCGATCAGAAGCTTTCGTGACCAGATTAGGGCATTCATTTGGTACCCATGACGTTAAATCTCACGTGATTTTTCCATTATAAAATGTAAGTAGTAGATCACTTGAATAAAATTGTCATTTTGTTCAAACACAATGTCTGATCAGACGTTTTGGTGTTGGTTGTGTGAAAAGTGTGAAAGAATGTACGGTCAGGGGATCACGATTCCCTCCACTCTTAGCGACGATCCTATGAAGAAATTCGAAGCCAACGATATGACGCGAAACGTCTTTCGCTTCGTCGTCTTTATCATGTGTTTGCAACGACATCCCCAGGTATTCGAGGGGTTCCGAGTCATTCGAGAACATTGCCCAGACCTCGTCAAGTCTTGTGTCATTACCTTGACAACGAGATTCTAAAAACATGAAAAAGAAAAAGATCACGAAGACGAAAAGCCGTTCTGTTAGCCAAGTTTGACGATCCCGCCGAACCGGGTAGTTTGGGATGGTTAGGACGTTTTGCCCGAGCGCAAAAACTACCCATCCAACAAGTTCGAAAGACGTCGGAAATAGATTTGGAGGACACCCTCCACAAACCCCGTCGACGCCTATTTACCACCCTACCTGTCCTGGTGTTCAACATCGAACAACAATGGGTGGCAGACTTGGCGGAAGTGCAACCCTTGGCCCAAGACAACAAGGGTTACCTGTACCTCCTCATCGCGATCCACGTCTTCTCCCAGTAGGCTTAGGTGGAACCATTGAAAAACAAGACGGGGCAAGCCGTGACAGATGCCTTCGCCAAAATGGACGACGGGACAGAATTTTACAATTGTACGTTCGTCGCCATGATGAAACAGAAAAACGCTCATCATTTTTCAACCGCCCGCGATACCAAAGCAAGTATCGTGGAACGATTCAATCGTACCTTGAAAAAAAGGTTGTATCGCTATTTCGACTAAGAACACCTTTAGTTACTTAGCGATCCTCTAGGCCTTGGTGAAAGGGTACAACGGGGTTTCCTATCATCGCCGCATCAGTCGCAGTATCAGCCCCCGAGAAAGTGAACGCCGGTAATCAAGAGGAAGTAGGGAACAACTTG